TCAGGTCTCTGCACTGGCTTCCCGTGGCCCAGAGGATAGACTTTAAAGCAGCTCTCCTGGTGTACAAGTCTCTCCATGGCCTTGCACCAAAGTACATCCATGATATGCTAGTCCCATATGAACCAGCCCGGACTCTGAGGAGCGCAGGGACGGGACTCCTGTTAGTGCCCAGAGTCAGGACTAGACAGGGGGAGGCTGCTTTTCAGATTTATGCAGCTAAAGTCTGGAACAGTCTTCCTGAGGATGTGAGACTGGCTGCCTCTCTGTCAATGTTCAAATCCATGTTAAAGACTTTTCTTTTTTCCTGTGCATACAACTAGAGAATTTTATCTTTTTAACACACCTTGTTATTTATTGTTGTAACTTTTTGTGTTTTTAACTATTTTATTGTTTTTAATTACTTGTGTGATTCTTATGTTTTTAAATTACTTATGTGATTTTAATGCTTTTTAATTACATATGTGTTTTTAATTGTATTTTAATGGTGATGATTTGTGCATTGTGTGGTGTGGACTGTGAGGCGCTTTGTGTTGCCCTGTGCAGGAAAAGCGCCCTATAAATAAAGATTGATTGATTGATTGATTGAAGTTTGTAAAAAGGAGTAATCCGTGTTTTGTGGAATAAAAATGTAAGCAAAAATGATTAAAGGAGATAAAAAAGCAGCAAGCGAGGAGCAGCAAGAGAATGCGACTGCTCTGTCCAGAGCTGTACAGCGAGGATCTTAAAGCATTTTACTATCTTTAATGTTGAAATAAAATCAATTCATGGTTGTACAAAACAGTGTTGAATTTCCAATAGCATGTTAGAAAATTAATCAATCAAACCATTGGTCATTGGTCAAAAAATTATCTAAAGTTGTCCTTTAGAAATGAACTTGACATTGACAATTGCATAATGAACATGACTAAAACAATTACCGTGATGCCGGTCTATAAGCCTCTACTTTTAGCGACGTGGCCAATGTATGTATTTTATGTGTAGGAGTATCTCCCGAGGAAAAGGATACGCCAAAAATGAAATCCAAACATGCAGTATTAACATTAAACCTGCCCTTAATAGTGCAAATTCTTGAAGCAAATTAATTAAACAACACTATCAGTTGTTTATGTTTATGTGAATAGAACAGAGATGTTATCAGACTTCTGTCAGAACAGAGTGTATGACTTATTCACAGGTTTAGTAGCAAAAGGTTGCAGGTTGACGCAGGTCAAAATCGATTGGTGAATGGTGAATTAAAAGAGTCCTGATATTTAAGCTAACAGTGAATGTAAACATGCTAATATCTGCCTCCTCAGAGTTTATTGTGTCATTTACAAAGCTTTGATCATCACAAGTCAACAGTTCAGTAAAACACTTTTTCATTAAATCATGTGTCCATCAGCTGTTGGTAAAGTTCTACATTCCAGAGCGGCCTACATGTGGACCAAATGTACTGTCTTTTAACATACATGAATCTTTGCCCTAGTGGAGTCTTATACGGTGTATTCTTTAACACGTAAAACCTCAATGCTGATTCACAATGAACGCCTGAAACCAGAACTTTAAAAAATGTAGACAAAGGCTTACAACAATCTCCTGAAGTGACCAATGAGATATAATCGTATACAACAGGATGACAAAGCCAATCCAGGCTGATTATGACGAGCAGAATAGTTCATGTGTGTTGTGTGGTGACTTCATGGTTTCAGACTCAATATATAAAGGATTATGGGGTCTGACCCAGAGCTACATTACTCTGTTATTCTTCCTTTCCCAGTTTCAGGCTCAAATCACAAATAGAGCCAGGTCAAGTAAAACTCAATGGAAGACAGGCAGAAAAATGACATTTAAGCCCCGGGGGTTTTCCTCAATATTATGTCTTAAGCAGGTTAACTCTTCCACAGGAGACTTGAAGCCTTTGAAGTCATCTGTCTGTGGATGCCTCATTAACTGCTATTAATGTAATAAAAGTAACATGGCTGCCAGAGCATGTAGAGTGAGGGCAAAACATGTGCAGAATAGTGCCTTTATTTGCACCAAGGGGACACAATTAACTTCTCATTACAATTAGAAGAAAGGAGATTGTATAATGTAACATGTAATTACTGTTTAGGTAAAGCCGCAGCATACACACAAGTGCTTTTGGGGCTGTTTTGAAGCCCTGCAATTCCATAACCTTAGGACCTCAATGCAGGAATCTGGGGTCAAAGAGCAGCTTTTTACACTGACCAATGAGAAAGCACAACAAACACTGTGTTTCCATGACAACAGCACCAGACTGTACATCCAAAAACTGACCTTTGATCTCTGTTCAACACATGTACATCTTGCCTGTATAAAGAGGCAAATGCAGAAGTAATAAAAGGCTTCTGTGTGAGGGGAAAATGTGTGACTGTAACTCACACATAAGGAAAACACATTTGTAAAATATGGATCATGATAGAAAAGTGGAAAATTCGATGTGAATAACCTTTCGTTAGTTTTAAATGAAAAGTGCTAATGAGGAGTTTGTCATCGGTAATAAGAAGTAATGACATGTTTGTGCAGCACATGCCAATCAACTGTCGCAGATAATCCTGTCATTATGGCTAAGAGCAGGCGACACGTGAGCTTTCTGTAAAAACAGACAAATAAAACCCTGAAATTAAATCTAATTAGCATACACTAGTGCAGAATTTGGCAGGATCTTACTTATTAGACATTTTTCCTTTGATTTAATCCAATGTGGGTTAAAGTTGCACTAAAATGAAATGCAGTATAGTATTAACATTAAACCTGACCTTAATGGTGGAAATTCTTAACGCCAATTAATTAAACAAACTTCAATGTAGCACAGTTTGTTATACGATTAAAAAGTAAAATACATTACACGCTCATACATCTATATCCAATCTACTAACTCAAATAGTCTAAAGGTTTCAGCTTCCAAAGGTCTCCTTCATGTTTGCACACTTCTGTATTTTGCACAAATCTTGAGTGATTCTATCCATGCCAGATGTGACATGTAAATTTCTCCTGTGTGAGATCAATAAAGCTATCTTATCTTGTCTTCATGATCCCAAAATATAGATGAGCAACATTCTCCAACATTCTCATGAAATGTACAGTACTTAGTTTATCCAAAAGGTAATTGTTTTGTTTTTGCTTGTGTCCAAGTCCATGTGGATGTAGCCATCAACATACAAAGGAGCAGTATGGAAGCTAGTAGCCAAGACATCTGAGGTAAATCCCACCAAGTTTGGCCTTGTGATGAAGCAGCTGAAGAGAAGTTTAAAACAATAATAAACATTTGATTCACAACTGAAGCATCAAGTTCAAATTGTAATTATAAATACACGCCAAATGCTCCGTGACTTTGTTCCATTGCAGACCCAATCACATGGCCGGGCAGCCCGCCTCAGTCTGATCAGCTACACCCTGAAGTGGACTCATGCCAGTGCTTTGTGGGAGCCAATAAATCTGAGTCAGTCGCCATCAGGGGTAGTGCTGCAGAGACAGACCAGGGGATCTGGAGCTAAAGCCAGCAAATAAACAGAGCACCCCAACCCAGGGCCAAGGTAATGACCATCATTAAACTCACGCTCCCGCACGGACAATCCAGGCACGCCAAGATACCAATAGCAGCACGCAGCTACAGTGAAACATTTAGATTGGATTTACATGTAAAAGTAAACATGTGTTAAAGGGTGGGGATGTTAGTTGTACTTCAGCAATTGCTGTGTCAGCGTCACAATTTCATTGCCACAAGAGACAATTAAATACAACTATATTTCTTTCATCAAAACTGTAATTAAAAAGCATAGGATAGACAAAACGTTCATGTTTGGCCACACACATATTCCAAATATAAAGCATAACTACAATCAAATGAAATCTGTGCCACATTGCAGCCTGTCAAACAAGTCAGTCTTTGTTACTGATGCTGACTTGGATAATCTCATCACGCAGTTGATACTAATGCTTTCAGGAGTTAACAATGTAATGGAAAAAGTCTGCAGGTCTTAGCTCCTAGAGAAAACGGTTTGATAGAAATAATATGTCATTCTGAAACTACTCCTGTTTCCATGATCTTCTCAGCTTCGTAATGGCTTCATGTGTTTTTGGATCCATCATATAGTTATTTTAGGGTTATAATAATCAAAATGTAAAATGTGCTTCACCACCGAATACGCTGTATCTCTCTTGCCATTACCACCTTGTCTCCTTGTCTTATGTGATTTATTTCAATGCCTGAAGAAAAGAAACTGCCTAAATGCCCCTTTCTCTACAGCCCTCGGGTCCAACGAATACCTCATTTCCTGTGGTTTGGTACGCACAGAGTCATAAGCTGGGACAGATGGGTGCCTGATTGAAACAACTGATCCAGACACAAAAATATTTGTTCCATAGAACATCCATTGTTTTTGGAAGAAGTAGAAAAATATACTGTGAAATATACATGGCATGCATCTCCCCAGTCCATGCTGTTAACCTAGAGGTATCAGAAAGTGAAGAAAGGATGGGCTGCAGCTGGAGAGAGGTGATTCCTCTGGTTCATTTGACGGCATACTCCCCACATGCAGACTCAAACAAACAGCACCTAAATACACATTACATTCAGTACATGTATGTTCTTTTACCCCAACACCAGGCAGGCGCTTATAGCAAACCTCCAACACTCTGCTATGAAAAATAATGTACACTGGGGAATTTGGGTCATTTTTTTCACTCATCGCTTCCTTATGAGATCTATGGAGAGAGAGAGCACTGCTTCTCCCATGAAAAAGTTGATTTAGAGTCGAAGCCTATTTGAAGAAAGCAGAGCATGTGCTGTTTAGAGAAAACAATGTGGTAGTATTTCACAGGCTTAATTTGGTATAAGGAGAGCCCTGGCCTGGACCCAGGTAGCACAACATTTCAAAAGAGCTGCCAGGAACAAGAAATTTGCTCCAGATACAGCTTTTAGTGGCAAACACAATCTACATGTAAATTCTATTCAACTAAACTATTCTTAATAGTCTTTCTATAAACACATGTCTTACCCTCGGAGTGTCTCTTGGCCTCTGCGGCGAACCCTCTGGGCTTCCCTCTGTTCAGTTTCCCCGGTGAAGCGGCTCGGTTGGTACGCACCAGTCCCAGTTTGTGAGCCTGTCACCTGGACAGCAGCAAGACACACCCATCCCAGCAGTGTCTGGGCCAGCATCACGGATGCCATTGGAAATCAGCCTTCAACCCTCTCAGACTCCGAGTTTAACTAATGGACCCAGGCCACACAGGGATTTAGACTTGGATCCACACCAAGTCCCTGGGTGCACTCCACAGCAGGACTAGACAAGACAAAACAAGGATTACATGCACATCAAATACTGATTTATAGAAAGCTGCTCTTAATGTAACTCCAAGTCAACTTCAGAGATGTTGTATTTTGTTTCAAATGAGTTTGGAATGTCATTGTCAATGGGATGGCAAAGCTGATAAAAAAATAAAAAAAATATTTAATCAACATAATTATATTTAAGGTTGTAGCAAGTTAATCAATTACACACAACCAATTGATAATTGAAATAGTTGTAAACTAATTTAGTAATTGATTCATTGTTTTATGAATCGATGAATCCATTACTAAAGAACTGAAACATGCTGAGAACAGGTGTTATGTCTCAGATCATTCTTTAATGCCTGCAGAATGAAATTAAAATGTGATTACAAAGTATTCAAAGCTAACGACCCAAAGTGCACCAATATTCTTCAGCAGCATCAGTTTAGCATTGTTTAATAATCGATTAATCTAAGGGATAGGCGACAAACTTCGATTAGTAACAAATGTGTTAATAACAGCCCTATTTATCAGAGAAAAGCCACTTGGATCAAAATGTGATTTGAGCAGATAATGTCCTCCTACATCAAAAGGTGAACACCTATAACCTATCGTGTCATAACCAGGTTAGTTTAAAACTTATCTTGAAAGGAACTAAATAAGAGGTTCAAATTGACGTCTGAAGGGGAGTTTGCTTGTATCACTTGAGACACAGGGAGCAGGAGAGTAATGAATAGTCAACATAGATGAATTACATATCCAAATAAGAAAAAGTGTAAGCCATGAAGGGGTATCATAATATTCACATGTTCTATTGACTTGACCAGGCTCAGTCTTACAAGCCTGTTAAAGTCTATTATATTGAAAAACACCCAAGTGGCCTGCATACACATGAGGTTTATTTTCCTTGCTTCGTCTCATTATAAAGTCCAGGTTTAGGAGAGCCCTGAGCCTCAAGTGATATATAACCTCTCAGCAGAGACAGGGAAAAGAATGGCCCCTGAGCCGCCTGGCTGGAATTCACTTTAAAGAGAGCATCATAGTCCTAGAGTTTATCTAGGAGTTTAGAGGAGCTATAGTTCTTGATAAATTACCAATGCATGCAATACTAAGAGAGCCACTGAAAGAGCTTTGCAAATGAGTGAAGAAAATCACTAAAGTGAACAATTTCAAAATAGAGAGTGAGAAAGATCACATTTACCCCCCAACCAACTTTTCTCCTAAACTCAGTCAAATACATAATGGGGCAAGAAGACATGTACAATAGTTTTCAAAAATATGGGGAGAAGAAAGTGAGGAAAGAATCATGACATGAAAAATCAGTCTTGTTTGTTACGCATGACACCACAACTTTATGAATGGAGAAAAGCGCTGCATCAGCTAATGCAGGCTAACACCCAACTTTGTTTTATTGTGCGAAAGTTTGATGAGAAAATACTTCACAAATGAAGCATAAATCGTAAAACATGCTCAAAGTGAAGTAAGAGGCAGCGAATGTTGCCCATGCCAAAGAAAGAAGCTTACAGTAGAGTCAAGCTGAGCGCAGGGTCGGGGGTCCATCAAACACGCAGAACACTTCATAAAAGCCACAAAGGACGGACTAAAGTCAGAATCTACGCCATGGAGGACAGAGCACGTACCTCGCAGAGGATGAGGAGCCCTCACAGCAATGGAAGACAGAGGGTCCACAGTGGATTATTGAACTGTAGCCTCCTGCGAAAGAAGAGAAAAGTTGGAGAATTGTCCTGTTTGAGGGAGAGGGGAGGGGACACGCTGGGAGACAGGCTGCGAGTGGGAGAGAGGGGGTAGGAACGGGCTGAAGCAGGACAACCCCACATTCCTCAAGACTCTGGAGCTGTGCGTGTAGCACCGGCCTACACGTACCGGGGCCAGCAGGCTCCGTGTAGACTGTCCTCCTGTACGGAGGCGACTTATGGAAGACGTCAGCACCAACCATTACGTCTCCAGTTCCCATTGGAAAGGTGACTAATTATCATAATTTTCGCACCGATATTTCAAATGATTTAGTACAATGGTGATGGCGGGCAAAAGTCTTGCTGCTGAGCTCTCCATAAATGTTTAGAGCCTTTTGTGATTGACGCATCCTTGTGCTTTGTTGCATTTAGGAAGTCACCTTGGCAGATGCACTGCTGCATGGGTGGTATATTGCAGAGGACAGCTGTGCATGCTTCCCACTGTGGTTTCAGCACGTTCTGCAAAAACACCTGACATACCCCAAAATGAACACATGAAGCCTCAAAAAGTAGTTCAGCCAGAACAGGTGAGTAGAGTTCAGGGTGAGCCTTACCCAAGACTGACCAGCTGCTGAGGCCCCAAAAACTACAGAGAGCCCATGACAGTCATCTTTCTTTGCAAACAAAAGACATAATATTTGCCAGTCTAAAAACTTTGTTGCCGCTAGAGATATTAATAGCTAGCTAATCATAAATAGCAGTGAAGTGGGTAGAGAAATTCTGCTTTGTGTCCTCAAAGACTTGATTCAGTTATCTTAATCCCTGAACATCCAAATAACAAACAAAACTAACAGTAGATCCCTCTGACCTGAAGAGATGCACACCTAATTGACCATAGCACTGCACCCAGCCCGTAATAACCTTGTTTAGGGAAAGCCTAACCTCAGGCCTTCACAGAGTCATAAATACTTTCACATTTAAGTGGATAACTTGACTTACTCTGTGGTCTTCTAAAGAAAAGGAAATTATATATTTTTTGTCATATTTTTCATGACTAAGTATCAATTTGCCATGGTTACAGAGCGTGTAGCACTTTCGACATGGAGGTTTAAGTTCTATCAGCCTAGATTCTTTCCGGCTCTCTTGAAAGTGAAAGCAACGAGGGAAGGGAAAAGTGCATTCCAGAGTATTTCTTTTGGTCAGTCTATATTGCTGGGATCAGTTGAAATAATACATGAAATCGAATAGGAATGAGAGAAAGTCTACAACAAAGCTATGGGGGCCACCCATACATCTCAGAAATACGCATGTCTAAACAATAGTATAAGCATGAACCTTCCCATTCAATCTGATTTTAGCATGTCTACATTTTTGTGTGGTCCCAGACAAACATTCCCTCACACAAAAAACACATGCTGACTTCATGCTGTTGAACATGGCATTTGGTTCTAATGGGGAACATGCAGACTGCTATAGGATCGGCCTCTCATGCAGGGGGATAGAGAGAACAGCTTTCTACACTTTATATTTACATATTTACTCAATTACGCCATGCTTAAACAATCAGGAACTGCACTGTTGACTATTAGTTTCCATTCCACGTCTTTGAAGTAATAAAAGATTGAAATGTCACTCCATGTGTAATAAAGTTGTATAAAAATAACAATTTCTGAAAAGAAAAACCAAATATACTTTTTTCTCAATCATATATTTCTTTTGTATGTCTGTATTTTAGACTATAGAGAAGAAACATGTGTTGCCAAAGTCAATTGCTGTTTTTCAGCCAAATAAGAAATGTTTGTTTTGAGGCTTGTGGGCAGCATAGGGATGACTGTCGCAAAGGAAAGCCATGTGTGACACTCCAGATGCAGTGTCACTAGCTTAATTTGGGTTTTGTCATAAAAGTTAAGAATCAGGATTGTTTGAATGTCCTGGTCCAGCTGCTTTGCATTGACCTAGACTTTTCAAACAATACTCTCCATAAGAGTTGTTTGATCCTGCTGCTTTAGAATATACAGTAGTGAAGAAAACCAAAGTGAAGTTTTGATGTGACTTCACTTGGATGCATTCTTGACATGTAGCCGAGGAGAGACCAAACCAGGAGAGACCACCAGAGCTTGTGAGAACTCGAACATATTCGACCCCGTCCAGGAGATTGCTGCAATTCAAAATCACTTCTACAACACTGTAAGGGAAAAAAATGTGGAGAGCCAGAATTAGTCATACTGTACTGTTGCCCACAGGGGTGATCCAGTGCATATATGGGTCACGAGAAACCCCAGACGACACTGGTTATAGGATAAATACTATAATAATACTACATGTTACCCCAACAATAGTGCACACATACCCTCTGTTAAGAGGATATAGTGCACTACATTCCTTGCCTCAGGTCTAAAGCAATATGTTGTGCGTATTATATGCGACAACTCTACATGATTTATTGGCAATAGTAAAATAATACGAGTTTTGAATATGTATTTAACAATACAAGAAAATGTAGAACATGAACGTGGGAACATACGGCACATGTTTGAATTGGCAGCAGTGAAAGTTAATGACAAGTCGGTCCTGAGAAAAATCAATCGGAGCCTTACAGATTGTACATTAGAATCAAGGCAATCACGATCGAGAAAATAATGCTTTTGACCTACATCAGCAAAACTGGGGGCTACTGAAGCAAAAGAAGCAAATGAAGTCTACTCCACTATACAGATTAATTTAATATGTAAAAAGTTAATAGATTAATAGCCATTTATCATATATTGAAATATTTGTCAATTAATTTATGATCAATTAATCTTTTTTAACCTTACATCGACTTACACATGCAGAGAGGACTCAAGACAATGGCATAATGACTGCATAATGAAATGAAAATGTGTTTTTAATCAAACAACACATTGTGTAACCAGTCATCTCTATGAAGATATTCTCCAGGGGCATCACTTGAGCTTTGTTTTGGTCAAATGTATAAAAAAGTATTCACTGTCCTTTCCATATCAAAACAACAAAGCAATTGTTATAAGAATTGTTAAAATGAAGTAATAATTATTCCCAGCCGTTAATGAATTGTTGCTGAAAGTTTGTAGGGTGGAGGATTGTGCGGTATGTTGACTCCACTGATCCGTGCACAGGTATGCCTTGCCTCATCCTACCTGCCACTCAGACGTACTCGCTATAACAACCTGCCTCTTCACAGCTGTACAGTGATGCAGCACCAGAAGAATGTACATCTTCAAAGTACTTCACAAGCGGAGACAACGAATGACCGTGTTCGGAGAATCTAAATGTGATCTCATAAAACAGCAACAACACATTGGCCTGTTTAGTAGAGATTATGAGGGAAGTCTTCTGCTGTTTTTGTGGGAAGCACTAGAGGAAGAGGCGACCGATTGCACTTGAAATGACTCCCCAGAGATATGGCATACTTTACCTAGCCATGGCTAAGTGACTGTTAAAACACACAGAAGACAGAAAAGTGAGTCTGAGATTGGACATCAAGTTTAGCCTTCTTTTACTGACTTTCCGGATGGGAGAGACTTGAGATTCCTTGTAACTGCAAATGACAAGAGAGTATAGAAAGAAATGAAAAAAGTCAAACAAAAGATTGCAGCATGATGCCAAGAGAGTGGAAAGAATCCTGCTTTCGAACTGTTTGAGAGGATAATGGCTTTCAGATGTGAAAGTCCTTTGTATTTTAAAAGAAGCATAAAACATTCCCTCTCAAAGGAATCCAAAATACGTCAGGAATTCCCACTGAAAATCAAGCTGAAAATCCGCAACAGAAATAAGGCAGATTGGTCGGTCTTGTATTTGCTTATATGGGGAGTAATCATGTTTTGAAGTGAAATATACAAATACATACAGTCTGGGAGTTAGGGTGATGTGGACATTGAGACGGCATACCTCTGCACCACAGTGATGTTTTCTCTTCAGGGTGGGGGTGCAGCGGCACTCTATTTCCTGTTCAAACCTTGGGGGAGCTGAGGTGAGGTCATTCCTCCCGAAAACTGTTAAGTCCACAGCTCACAACTATTGGAGCAGCACAATGTGGTTCCCATAAAAGATGTCAACATAACTGTTTCAACTTTGTAATCCTTGGTGGTAAACAAGTATTTGCACCATGTAACTTTCTGGACATGGCACATCACCTGCACGATTCCACTGAAATAACTGAACCTTACTTTGGAACATTCTCCATGGAGGTAAATGAGCTGTATGCCATACAGTAGCGGATTATAGGAACATTTCAAAACAACACGGACATGGAACAAGAAGAGTAACAAGTATCACAGTAGACATACGGTGGGGCTACAGTGAAATTTTATTGTATATGTTGAGTTGTGGTTTTTGTTTTGCACTAGTGGCAAATTGGAAATGTGCTTCATTTTAGCACTTTATTATTATTACTAGTATTCTTATGTGTAAAAAAGAAGGATGAATATGATGTTGAAGAATTGCTGTATAACTGCTGTATCTAATCTTGCTGTATTGAGCAAATATAAATGATAAAGGATAACTAAATCATTTGGGGTCTTTTGAAACCTCTATGCCGACTTCAGATTTGTTCTGTATGTAGGTCAAAGACTATTATTATTATTGTTACTAGAAGACATGACAAGTTATTAGTGTCAGTTTAGTGGCACTAAACTGTGTAACTCACAGAAACTCAGAGCTCTACTTTTATCCAAGAGAAAGGTGTGGCTTTTAAAAGCCAAAGGTGAAGAAAATAGTCTGAACCCCCTGTGAAGAGGAAATAGGTTTTTATGCTTTAATTTAAGTACCTAAGTATATTACAACTTTAACGTTTCATTTCCTCTCTGTTACAACATTTACTTTTAAGTTGCCATAAAATGCCATGAGCGTTTGACTTTGCTGTAATTCCCACAGGTTAACCAAGCTTGGCCAATTTGCTCTTAGATTCTATGGTTTATGATTAATGATTTTCTTCAATAATGTTATGCCTTTTGTTGGAACAGCATGGCATGAGTAAACACCCTTAATAGGCCAGAGCATCTCAAACATTTTACCATGTTATGATGAAGTACCGCTATTTAACTTTCTGAGCTTTGCCCTGTGCCCATCATTTACAGCCCAATGACTAATTTCCTGTCTTTACCTAAAGCCCCAGAGAACATTGCCTCATAGTCCAATAACCCTCCCAAAGAACAGGTGAAAATAACTGTTACAAGTCCAGCCGTTTATCATCTCAGCTCATTATTAGTTATGGAGGACTGTAGCAAATACTCTGAGAATGTCTGGGAGTCTGTGGGATAAA